ATGCCATAGTTTCAACAGTGTTAAAACCTACCCAGGCGCTGATATTCAATCTGACCACAATCCTTTAGTGGCGTGTATAGAACTAAGTTAAAGAAAATACGCGGAAAAGCTGTAAAAAAACATGACATGAGAAAACTGAAATGTAGCGAAGTAAAAGAAATAGTCAGCAAAACATTAAATAGAAAATTTAAAGAAATCGATAATACAACGGAAAGCACAGAAGATAAGATAGAATCCCTTAAGAAAACAATAGACGACATTAAAGACAATTTTATGAAGAACGAAGAAGGTAAGAATAAGACATGGATGACGACAGAGATTCTGCAATTAATGGAAGAAAGAAGGAAAAACAAGAACGATAACTCCATGTATAAAATATTACAGCGAGAGATACAGAGAAAGATCAGAGAAGCCAAACAGAAAGAACTGGAGAAAAAATGCCAAGAAATCGAAATTCTCCAAAGTAAATACGACGACTTCAACGTGCATAAGAAGGTAAGAGAAATTACAGGTAAATGTAAAAACAAAAGAATAAGTAAACTTGTTAATGACAATGGAGATATAATCGTGGACAAAGAAAGTATCAATGATACCTGGTAAACATACATAAGAAATTTATTTTTTGATGAGAGAGAGAACCAGCCTCCAATACCTACGGAAACAGGACCACCTATACTAGTGGCAGAAATAAGAGCAGCCATAATATCACTAAAAGAAGGTAGAGCTCTAGGACCAGACGGAGTACAATCTGAATTTCTTAAACTTCTTGATGATGAATCTTTAAGAGTACTATGTAAAATCTTCAATAATATCTATGACACAGGCAATATCCCAAAAGATTGGCTACTTTCAGAATTTATTACCTTACCAAAGAAACAGGGAGCAAAAAAGTGCGGAGAATATAGGCTAATAAGTCTAATGAGCCATACATTAAAACTTTTTCTTAAAATTATACATTGTAGAATATACAAGCTATGCGAAGAGAGAATACAAGACACACAGTTTGGATTCATGAAAGGCGTAGGTACAAGAGATGCACTGTTTAGTCTACAAGTATTATTTCAAAGATGCAGAGATATGACTTGCGATATTTACACCTGCTTTGTGGACTACCAAAAAGCATTTGATACAGTTCAACACCAAAAAATGATGGATATTCTAACAAAAGCCCAAATGGATGATAAAGATCGGCGTATAATACAAAATTTATACTGGAACCAATCAGCCACAATAAGAACGAATTTTGGAGGTGAACCAACGGAAATGATCCAGATTCTACGAGGCGTTAGACAAGGTTGCATACTTTCACCTATATTATTTAATCTATATTCAGAGGAAATATTTAGTGAAGCCTTGGAAAAATGCGAACATGGAATACTTCTAAATGGAGAACGCCTAAACAACATCCGTTATGCAGACGACACCGTTATTTTTGCAGACAGTTTGAACAGTTTACAGCAACTAATAAACAAAGTAAATGAAGTAAGTGAAAGATTTGGACTTCAAGTAAATATAACAAAAATTAAATTTATGATCATCAGCAAAAATAAAGTTAGAGACGCTCAACTACTTATCAATAATACACCAGTGGACCGAGTAAAACAGTATAACTATCTTGGAACAACAGTAAATGAACAATGGGATCACTCACAGGAAATAAAATGTAGAATAGAGAAGGCTAGGAGTGCATTCAATAACATGGCCAAACTCTTTAAAAGCCACAATCTTAATCTGGAGATAAAAGTAAGGCTCCTACGATGTTATATCTTCTCAATATTGTATTACGGAGTTGAATCCTGGACACTAACTGAAGCAATGGAGAAAAAACTTGAAGCCTTCGAGATGTGGCTATACAGGCGAATTCTAAGGATATCATGGACAGACAAGATAACCAACGAGACCGTATTACGAAGAGTGGGCAAAGAAAGAGAGGTGATGTATACCATTAAAAGGAGAAAGTTGGAATATCTCGGACATATAATGAGAAACAGCACTAAATACAGATTACTGAAGGTAATCCTACAGGGTAAAGTATTCGGAAAGCGAGGAATTGGGAGAAGGAGAATATCATGGTTGAAGAACCTGAGGAAATGGTTCTCCACAACAACAACGAATCTATTTAAAGCATCAGTTAATAAAATAATTATAGCCAGAATGATTGCCAATATTCGGAACGAATAGGCACTGAAAGAAGAAGAAGAATAGTTTTCCAATAGTCTTTTCCAAGTTAACATGCTCCTTTTCTAACTTGGATGCACCGTACAGAAGAAGACCAATAGTCAGACGCATATACGGTCGCTTTTTATCGATATACTTTTTGTTTTTCTGTTTTGCGTTACATGCCATTCCATTGTACTTGAAAAATACTGTTTTGGTCTATTTGTTTATAATAGATACCTCTCGAAACTTAACGATACCACTCAAATACAAATGACTTTGTAATAAGCTTTTCTGCAATACTTTGTTGGCAACTATAAACCCAATCACTGTTTGGTTTTTCGATTGATTTACGCAAATACTACAAAAACTAATTAGAGATGGATTGACTATTCCGAAAACTTTCTGAACTTTTAATCCATTTGTATTTTTAAATTTAATTTTAATTAAATATACCACTTACAACAGAAGTCTGTTACATCGATGTTCGAGTCTTATAATTATTATTTTTTTCAGGACAATCGCTGCTGATAATTGCAATGTCAGCGGTGGTATGTATAATCACGACGCTGTCCCTGTCAGCAATTTGCACCAACGGCGAAGTAAAGGAGGCGGTATCTACTATTTCATTTCGCGATCGCTAGGTCCTGAATTCGGAGCATCGGTAGGAGTGGTGTTTGCATTTGCGAATGCCGTCTCAGCGTCAATGAATACCATCGGGTTTTGCAACTCCCTCAGTGATCTGCTTAGTAATTACAACCTATATATAGTTGACGGTGGAGCCAATGACACTAGGATAGTAGGTATGTATTCGATTAAAAAAAAATAGTGAATTTGCATACAAATTATCTCTAATGTGAATTAAAATTAACTAAACAAGTAGGCTATATTTTAAAAAGTTATGGCTAGTTGATTTAAAATTACAAAAATTGTAATATGACATAGAAGAAAAAAAATTAGAAGAAAAAACTGAAACAGCTACGCATACCTCAGATTTTTGGTAATTGGTAAATATGATGAATCATGGGTGTAGGGATTGGATACTTCTCTGTGATCGCGGCAGAAGGTAGATCTACTTTAGGAATAGCCCACATGAGCTCATGGTTTTCTCCAGCCTCCCATCCTCAGCTAATCCATATTCAAATCCAAAGCATTCCCATCTCCACCCTTTCCTCCCTCTACTTCCTAATCAAGTCGCCAACACGCACTATCCAAACGTGGCGTTTTAATGGGTTAAAACCAGAAAAGTTACTTTTCGTGAAAGACGAAACTACTGAACAGCTCTCAGTCTCCGATGGCTCCAACACCCCCAACCAAGGTAGCGGTTGGAGAAGAGGGTGCCATGAATGACAAGAAAGTCAAATGCATATTACTTCGTATAATTTTAGAACTCCTACATCGTACCAGCAGATGATGGAACTGGAGGAAAAGCTGAAAACAATAAAATGGGACATCATCGGCTTCAGCGAAATACGACGAAGAGGAGAAGCTCTACTTACTCTTAAATCAGGACACTTATTTTATTTTAGAGAAGAAGAAGACCCTTCAAATGGTGGAGTAGGATTCTTTAAACACAGAAAGCACTCACAAAATTTAGTTAAAATTATCAGCATTAGCAAAGGATTAACACCAAATCCAAGATATAATCTTAAAGTAATCCAGACATATGCTTCTACGACTATCCACTCGGAAGAAGAAATTGAGTTTTATGAGGACCTAGAAACAGCATTACATGCCACACTCTGATATTACACACTAATTATGGGCGACTTTAATACGAAAATGGGCTTTAAACAAGATGATGCAGAAGTAGCAAAGGGCAAGTATGTATATAGCGAAAGAAATGAACGAGGGCAAAGATTGTTGAACTTCTTACTTTAGGAAAATTTATCGATGATGATCTCTTCTTTCGATAAAAAGCTTCAGAGTAAATGGACATGGATAAGCCCAGATGATAGTATCGAGAATGAAATAAATTATATTATAACAAACAAAAAAGAAATAATCAAATACATCGAAGTACTCAACAAATTTTAATAGGAAGCGACCACAGATTAATTCGAGCTATTAAATGTCAAATTGGAAAGAACAAAGATGATCCTAAAAACACAAAAAATAATTGGATTCCCCCAGAAAACAACGACCTGTATGAAGATACACTAACCAGACGTATACAAGACTTGGAAGAAGGAATAGAATATTTAATAGAACATGCAAATGATGGCATAACGAAGGCACTAAAAGAAACTGAAGGGGAGTGTTTCCCAACTGTCCTGGTCCTTGAAAAAACTTAGGCAAAATAAAAAAAGGTTATAGTTGAAAGAAGACAGCTGACGGAAAAATATGACTTAGCGAAAATAATACAAGAGAAATAACTAAACTAATTCAAGAAAACAAAAGTTTAAAAGTTTTAAGCTGAATTTAAACTAAAACTAAAAATATTGAAAGCTCCGATCACGGCCAGACCTTAAATCTTGCCCAAGTACTTTTTTCTAAGAGCATCTTCAGGGCATTTTGTAAAAACATTGGCTATTCAGCACATAACTACACTTACACAAATACCAAACACTAGACAAAAGAACAAACAGTTTAAAATAAGTGTTTAGAATGCTACAATATGGGAAATGACAGGAGACAAAATAGCTTCTGGTTGTTCAGCGTTAACCGTAGTATTCAAAGCGTTTAACGTCATCACATGTCTTATTTTATTAATTTAGAGTCTTTTTTTATGGTATTAATATTGATTAAACTATATGCAACTTTAGCAAAGTTAAGAGAAGTGCCTTTTATTAATGAATTCTCAGCGGCCTACATATCTTAACAACATAACCGATGTATTTCAGGTGTCGTTGCTACTTTAGTAATGATCCTCATTTGTGCCGTTGGAATGGAATGGGAATCGAAGGCGCAGAATTTCTTGATAGCTGCAATTGTGGGAGCAATGGTAGATTTTATAGTTGGGACTATAATTGGACCTACAAGTGATCTGCAAAAGGCGCAAGGTTTCGTAGGCTTTAACAGTAGGTATTTCTAAATTACTTTATACATAATTTTCAATTTACGACATAGACAAAATGTAGGAATTATGTTCAAACTCTTAATTTTTGATGGTGAAATAGAGATCTCACAATATTCGGAACTTCATAATAAAGTTTCTATAGGTCAGATCAGCATGAATCTGCTAAATATGAATGCTATTTGAACATTTTAAATACTGTTTCTTTGACATAAAAGCTTGTGAAGATCCTTCTTCATATTTTGTATATGTTTAAACCTTTTTATTCACTTGTTTGTTGTTGTGTGTTTTGTTTTGCTAGTTTTTTCACTTGGTGTCCTCTATAATTAGATCTTATTATTTTAGTGAATTTATATTTTTCAAGGAATAACAGCCGAAAATGAAGATGACCTACAAAGATTAATTAAAGAATTCGAAGATACGGCACTCATATATAACATGGTGATCTAGTCTTAAATAACAAAATAATAGAACAAGTGATGAAAACTGAATACTTGGGAATAAAACTGTCAAGCTACGGAAAAGTGGAAGAAGAAGTACAAAAGCATGAAGAACATAGCAAACAGAGCAGCAGGATGTCTCAACAACACAATCTGGAGAAACAAATACTTCAGAACGGAAACGAAAACCAGGATATATAAATCAACAATAAGACCGATAACCAACAAACAAAAACAAACCAAACTCTAAGAGACAAAGAATGAAGTGAGAAATACGAGGGAGATCTGATATAGAGGAAATAAACGCGTAGACCAAAAGAAGAAAGTGGAATGGAATCAACACATCGAAAGAATGACAGAAAATAGAATAGTACGAGTAGCAAGAGACAAATCGCCAAAAGGAAAGAAAATCATTGGAACGACCGAGAAAAAGATAGTCAGACAACGTCAATTGAGGCTAAAAACCGAAGTAAAACAGACATTAAGCCTACTTGTAAAGTAGAAAGAAGAAGAAGAAGATATTTATTAAAATTTGTTGAAGACACGTAGTAAACATTGGCACAATTGGCCTCTTTGTTCCTCATTCTGTAACTATGACCTGTACGTACTGCTTGTATTATTTCGTCCATTATTATTTTCAAATGTATATTTATACTGGAGCTTATGGTCAAAGAATGTATTATTGATTCTCAGTTTGTTATAAAAGCACAGAGCATGGTTTGCAATTGTTCGTAGAATGCCTCCCGTTCCTCCTTAGGTTTGCAGTCCTCGGGGCTATAGATAGATATGGCATTTAATTTTTGGTAGTCCATTGTGCAGCAAGTATTGTAAGTAGTCACAAGAAGAAAAGAGGAACATTCCATTACAATGAAATCCTACTGAAAGATGAGAAAAACTTAGTGATGACAAAGATGAGTTACTTATATGCCAGCATAATACTGATTATCTCTGCGTAACAAAACTCGCAACTTTCTGTTAAACGAAATAAATCTATAGAATAAAAAATTTGTTGTTTAGACAGTGATAACTCATAAATCAATTATCGTAATATCAATCACCGTGAAAATTGCGCTTAATGCTTTCCAATTAATATTAAATTGCTTTTTCATATTTTTATTTATAAAACTTATCATTTCTACCATAAATATTGTACAACATATTCTCTATAAAAATTGTGTCGTAATAATTTTCTGGTGTTAATATAATAATTAGTTTATGGTTGAAAAGCCCACACCTTTATATTGGAAAAACAGTTAATGTGTGAAAATACAAAAATGAGACGTTTATTTTGTTATCCCTAATATATAAATGAGGTTACCAATCAACAGAGGCGTACTAATTAAAACATAAATAGGAAGAAAATTAGAGATACTTGAATACTTTACAAACTGATGAACCAAACAAAAAAAAATACTCTAAAAAGTTATACTTCTATTACAATAAACCTAATGAGGTGGTTTTAAACAACAAAAAATATTATAATATAAAAGGATGCAAGGAAACACGCATTGGAGGGGGCAACCACTTGCCAAAGGTATAAGTGTGCGAATAAAATAAATAACTAGTGCCAAAAAGAATTGTTTAGAATGAATCAAAGAAAAATTATTTTAGATTGAAGATACAGAAGCAGATATATACCACGTTCTAAAGTATGAAAACCCATAACATGCCAGTAAAGGAGAACTCATTTTATTCATGTATCCATACATTAATTTTGTAAAGCACTTTTCTTCTCATGCAAAAGTGCCGGGATCAACAAAAAGATGTCTACTTGTGCTTTATAGATTATGAAAAGGCTTTTGACAAAGTCGCAGACAATCAGCTAATAGAATGCTTGAAAAAAAAAGAACCTGGATCCAAACGACATTAATACAATACGTGAAATCTACTGGAACCAAAACGCCTCTGTCAGAACTGAAATGGGTGATGCTGAAACCATAAACATCCAAAGAGGAGTTAGATTTGGTTGTATACTATCACCAATATTATTTAACTTGTACTCAGAGGACATCTTTGCACATGCTCTAGATGAAGCACAATAATGAATAAAAGTCAATGGAAAAATCGTGAACAATATCAGGTATGCCGATAATACAGTACTGATTGCTGGCAGTGAAGAAGAACTACAAATTCTGTTAACCAAAGTAGTGCGAGAAGGAGAACTATACGGCCTTAAGGTGAATGTAAAAAAACCAAAACAATAATAATTTCAAAAAAAAACACACACCAGTTATAAACATACTAGTCAACAACAATTTAGTTCCGGAGTTCCCAACCAGGGGGGCATAGAGAGATGTCAAGGGGGGCGGAAGACGTTCGCGATTTTAGAAAGAAAAAATAATAATCAAACAACATTTACAAATAATATTACAATGTAATGTTTAATTTACACGGATAAAATTAATGAAATTAAATAGTATGTCAACAACCGTTTCAAAACCCGACACCAACGTCGTCAATCGCAGTTTATAAAGTTTCGACAAGCCACTACATGAAATCCGCGCACAACCCCTCCGCACCGATTCCGCATAACGTTCATTAGGAATTAGGATTAGATCATAGGTAGGTAGATAGAAAATAGTTGAGTACCTACCGGACGTGCATGAGCATCTGTGACATTCATTCACACAAATTTACGAAAAATTTGACGTTTCGGTATCAATTTGTTGCTGAGAAATTAGTTTGAGTGTGTATAATTATTGTGTTTCACTGTTAAAAGGTAAGTTTGTGTATTTACAAACTACAGTTGTCATTTTTATTTAATTTACTAAATTATTGATTGAGCTAAGATGCGTTCGTAGATCGATCATTGGATCTTTTTTAACACATTACAATCAAACCTACGTGGCGAATTAATTTTGAAACGTTAAATACATTACGTTATTAAGATAAATGGACATTTATAAATAGTAATTACATGTAGGTATTTTGCTTGTTGATTTATTACTGTTTTATTATTATAGGTTGCAAAATGGCAGCGAAAAAAAGAAAGTTTTCCGAAGATTATATTAAGTTTGGATTTACCTTCATAGAAAAAGACGAGTTACAGTTACCTCAGTGTGTGATATGTATGAAGTTTTAAGTAATGATAGCATGAGGCCCAATCGCCTTGAAAGACATTTAAAGGTACAACATCCTACTCTGGTTTTGAAGACGCAAGAGTTTTTTTCTTCTAAAGCAGAATCACTCAAGCGGATGAGATTGGATAAATCGGGAAGTTATCACAAAGGTGTATCGCAGCATCTCAAAGCTTCATTTGAAATAGCTTTTATGATAGCAAAGCAAAAGAAACCTCATACTATTGGTGAAGAATTAATAAAACCGTGTGTCCTAAAAGCCACGCAGATAATTTTGGGAGAAGATGCAGAGCAAAAAATGAAATCTATTTCTCTTTCGGATAATACAGTCAAGCGTAGAATTGATGACATTGCAGCAGACATAAGTCACAAATAATCAACAAAGTAAAATTATTCGCCATTTTTTGCAATTAGTTGCGATGAATCCACCGACATCGTTAATTGTGCACAGTTAATAGTGTATGTTCGTTACATCGGCGGAGATATCATTGAAGAAGAGATTTTGTACTCCCAATCTTTGACAGCAGGTACTACTTCTGAGAATATATTTAATTCAATATCAAATTTTGTTGAAAAACATGACTTGTATTGGAATAAACTCATTGGACTTTGCACAGATGGCGCACCTGCAATGATAGGTGTACGACCGGGCTTAGCTAAAAAGCTCAAAGAAAAAAATCCCGCAATGGTTAGTACACATTGTGTTATTCATCGGCAAGCTTTGGCTTCAAAAACATTACCACAGAAATTACGCCAGACTTTGGACTCGGCTATAAGGATTGTAAACTACATTAAGAGCAGCGCTTTGAAACAGTCATTTATTTACTTTACTTTGCGAGGATCTCGATTCTGATCACAAAGTTCTTCTGTTCCATACAGAAGTACGCTGGCTATCCAAAGGCAACATGTTGGCTCGCCTTTATAGAATTGAAAGAAGAAGTAATTCTTTTTTCTCGAGTTCAAAGAAAAACACGATTTCTTCACAATGTTCAAAGATCACACATTTCAATGGAGGTTGGCTTATTTGGCTGACATATTACGATGCCTTGAATGAACTAAACTTAAAACTTCAGGGCAGTAACGGCACTATAATAAGCAATTATGATTATATTCAGGGGTTCATATCAAAGCTTCAACTTTGGAATCAAAAAATCTCTTCTGAAAATGTTATGTCTTTTTCTCGGCTGTTCGAAGCAATTAAAAATAATATACTTGACGCAAATTTGAAAGCTGACATAAAAACTCATTTGCAAGCGCTGAAAGACGAATCTCGCCGATACTATCGAGACATCAATTCAGAGTCACCAATATGGCGTATGACAAGAAATCCATTTGTTGTTGATGTGTTCCAATTACCAGAAGAAATTCAGGAAGAATTTCTAGATATGATGGCTGACTCGTCCATGAAAGATGACTTCCATCTCTTGACATTGGAGAAATTTTGGATTAAAAGATTGCCTGTTAATTCGAAGGTTGCCTCTCTTGCTTTACGAATACTAGTTCCTTTTTCTTCAACTTACTTATATGAGACAGGATTTTCTGCTCTAGTTTTAATTAAAACTAAACAGCGAAATCGTCTTGATGTCGATAGCGACCTGATGATAGCTCTGGAAAAAACAGATCCTAGAATCAACCAAATAGTACAGAATATGCAATCTCAAGTGTCTCATTAATATTTACTTTGTTAAATTTAATTTTTTTGATAAAAACATGTACTAGTTTAATTAAACTTTTAATATTTGTTTATTAGAATTAAAATAAAATTTTAAGTATATAATGTGCGTTTTTTGTTGTATTTATTAAAAAAGTAAAGGGGGGACATGAAAATTTAATTTATAGTACGGGGAGCCCCAACAAAGAAAAGGTTGGGAAACCCTGATCTAGTTGAACAAGTAAAAAAGTTTAAGTATCTAGGCTGTTGAATACATGAAACCTTAGACCAAGAACAAGAGGTTAAATGTAGAATAGCACAGGCAAGAAACACCTTCTTAAAGATGCGACAGTTACTCACTACCCGTAATCTTGATTTGTCCCTACGATACCGCATGATAAAGTGGAAGCTTGGACGTTAACAGTCAGCTCGTTACGACGTTTAGAGAGCTTTGAAATGTGGGTATTTCGTCGTATGCTGAGAATTCCATGGACCGACCACGTTAGAAATAAAGAAGTTTTAAGGCGCATGAATAAAGAACGTGGACTCACAGAAATGGTCAAGAAGCGTAAAGCGTCTTATCTTGGACACATAAATAGACACGACAGGTATAACTACCTTCAGCTTATTATAGAAGGGAAAATAGAAGGCAGACGTGGCCCGGGTAGACGACAAATGACCTGACTGCGCAACATCAAAGATTGGACAGGATTAGACTTTCAAAGTTTAATAAGGAAAGCCCAAAATAGGGAAGACTTTGCAGATGTCATCGCCAACCTTCGCTAAGAAGACAGCACCCAAATAAGAAGAAGATATTTGTGACGCACAAAATTAGAGTTTAAGTGTACCGTTATTCGTTATAATTTTTACACTATTATTTTTCTGTAATTTTTTATGTACATTTGTTTGTGTATATATATCATTTTGTTTACTTATGTTACTTATGACGACACCATATTTTATCAATTATTTTTATGATCCTGCAATATTCTGAGACATGGAGACATCGACAGCATATCAGAACTTTTTATCTATTTTTATTATACGTTGTTTACATTCCTTGGACTATCGATTTTCTAGAAAATAAGGCAACAGGTATTACGTTTAGCATACATTCTTGCACCCTCTGCTTCGCAACGGCGAAGTAATACGCAATTGGTACATAAATAAACGGTAAAGTCACAAAATAATGAATTTAGAGCAAGTGTTGGTTATTTATTGCAAAAATTAACACGCATCTTTTTTAGATATCATGAATATTCATGACTATCGCACCCTTGGTTAGTAATTAGCAATTTTTTTGGCGTACTTGCAAAAAATGAGGCAATATACCGCTATTTATTTTAAAAACAAAAGTTTTCATTATCAGTGTCGTCCCATTTTTTCTATAACTATCAGTTTTTCGGAATATTCTTTAGGAGAGATAGGCACAAATTAAATGCATTAAAGTATCGCAATAATCAAGAAATTATTATTTCCTTCTGGTACTTGCAGACAATTATATACTCTCCTAAATGATTGGCGACCGCACCCAAACTCTTAATCTGTCTCTCACACACCTTCAAATGAATAAAGCAATTATTATCATCACTTAAAAACTCTTCTCAAACAGTTTTAAATTCTAAGAGCGCTTTGTAAATTTGAAATCTCATATACCTGCTTATGCTCTTACCAATCCAGATTCACATGGCTCGAAGGACCACAAAAATACTGGCTTTACTTTAAACTGTAAAATTAGTTTTATTGAGAGATAATAAATACGATCAAATTAATACACAAATTTCAAGAATAAACGTCAACGATACTTTTGTATGAATCAAGAAGAAGGTCTTAAAAATAACAATACAATGAAAACTTTTTCAGCAACAACATTTTCCGAAAATTGGGGTCCTATGTATAGATCACAGGAAAATATAGACTACAACTTCTTCCAAGTCTTCGCTATTTCTTTCCATCCGTCACTGGGATCCAGGCTGGTGCTAATATATCAGGAGATTTAAAGGTAAGTAGCAAATAGGATTGTTGGTGTGATGTGGTAGAACACTAAAAGTTGGTATGAGATTAAAATCTTTTACCCGATTATAAATAATGATAAATTAGTCAAAGCATACATTTAGGACCGCATATTGTTATCGTCTAAGACGCAGGAAAAAAGATAAAGAGAAAATATGACTTTTTAGTAAAAGGTTATATAAGAAATAACAAAAAAACTATAATTACGACATGTACAGAGCAATTTACAACATGAATCGGATGCGTGTGTGTATGTTTTATTGGCACTGATTTATTGGCACAACCAACTGGCCAGAATTGAAATGGATAAAACACTGTAAAAATCAAATAAACATTCAGAATTGAAAAAAAAAGTATAATTTATCTACTGTTTGTATCGTAATATTAATATGCTTTAAAATATTGTTATTATTGTCTAAAATCTATTCTGTCTTTATGAACGCTTAGTATTAAATATGTGATATTTTCTAGGATCCTGCAACAGCTATTCCAAGAGGCACTCTACTATCTCTTCTGATCTCTATGTTTTCTTATGCTGTATTTGTGATCTTCGCTGGTGGAGCAGCTCTTAGAGACGCTAGCGGAAATACTACTGATTTAATGAATGGTTCTATAACTTATTGTGTTACTGATGAGTCATGTAAATATGGATTATTTAACAGCTACCAGGTAAGTTGACAGTATAATGTTAAAGAAATCATGAAAATTTTCTCTCAAAAGAGATCATATCCTGTATGTTAAAATGAAATCCTCCAACATCGACCTCTTGTCACAATATCTTTAAAAAATTAATATTTTTCTTTTTTTTTGCATATTTGCCCAAGTTTAATGATTGACGATTTATATTTTTTATCTTCCTCTATCTATATTTTCTACTCTCCTCGAGTAGATTTTATTGAGTACACGTTTAGCCTAACCGATGAAGCTAAATGAAACTTTTTTTTTCGTTTTTTGTTTTCGATTTTTCGTAGAGTTAGATACCGTTTTAAATTTTACGATTTTTTTCTTATAAATGTTTTTTAATCTAGATGATGCAAATCATGTCCAGTTGGTGGCCACTTATCTATGCCGGATGCTTCGCAGCTACTCTAAGCACAGCTTTGACAAATTTGTTGTCGGTACCGAGACTTATCCAAGCTCTTGGCATTGATCGAATTTACCCAGGACTTATCTTCTTCTCCAAAGGATATGGTAAACATGGAGAACCCTATAGGGGATATATATTGACGTTCATAGTATCTATTGCGTTTTTGTTGATAGGTAAGCTATGATTTGTTAATTATATTTATTAGTATAAATAGCTACACTATTTGATGAATTTAAATATATCAATTACATTTTTGTACAAAAAACATAACGGAAATGGATTTGGATAAGTCCAAATGGAAGAAGAAAAGTTGAAATTGCCTACATACTTAGCACGATAATTTAATAGTACAAGATATAACGGTCTTTAATTCATTCACAATAGGGAACAACTACTGTTTGGTGGTTGAAGATGCTCTAAATAAAACTAAATAACAGGAAGAGCAATGATGGCATAAATTTATATTTAACAACTGTAAACAAAAAAATGGTAGATAGAACTGACATATCATTCATTACAAACAAGAGGAATATAAATGTGAAAGAGGAAGACCGCAGAAAAGATGGGCAGATAACATCAAAGGACAAGTAGGATGAAGATAAAAAAGTACAGCCAAAAAAGAGCGAAATAGAAACAAAGGAGGTCTATATTCAATACTGACCAATAAATGGCTTTAGGCAGATAGATTATTTGGTTTTCCATTCCTTATATTTGTGTAAGTTATTCTGTTCTTATTAAATCAATTTTCTTCTTATTCATATCTTAGCTCTTCTATACCAGAAGTACATTTAGAGAAAATTTATGATTTACAACCTATTTTAAAGGGGTGTCCCAAGGAGTGCAAGTGTTAAAACTAAAAAAACACTTAAATAGTGGTGTGTACAAACTTAATGTGGCGACTGCCAAAAAACTTACATCGGTCAAACTGGTAGAAACTTTAATAAACGAATAGCAGAACATAAAAGGGCTTTCAATAATAGAAAAACAGATTCGACATACGCACTTCACCTTCTAGATCATAATTATTCTTTTAATGACAAATTTAAAATTCTTTACATCCAAAATAAAGGCCTTAAGCTATCTTTGTTAGAATCTACGGAAATCAACAAATTGAAAAACACAGATATAATTCTGAATGACCAACTTGAGACAAACAGTTCTCCCCTCCTCAACCTATTTTATTAGAGACTATAAATTGTAAACGCATGCCAAAAATAGATCACTTGAGAAATTTAATCAGCCGAAACAGCTGTAGTAATAATAGTTAAAATAAATTTTGTGGAAGTTTGAAAACAAAGTTTTCAGTGTTTTATTGTTACATAAAATGAATTTCCATCAAGTATCGGTCGAATCCATCAATTATGTTAAAACTACAATGATTGTTTGCCAATTGAAACACTAAATAAAGACATTATTTATTGATTGATTTTTTGATTGTTGCAACTTTCTATTTCAGCTGAACTGAATGCTATAGCTCCACTGATATCCAATTTTTATCTTGCATCCTACGCCCTTATTAATTTCTGTACCTTTCACGCCGCATTAATCAAACCGTTGGGTTGGAGACCAACCTTTAGGGTAAGTACTTTTACTATAAAATAAAGATCTACATTTTTTTATGTTTTCTTTCGTTTTTTACTTTCTAAACATAAATTTAATATGTTTTTTTAATTTTTGCAGTATTACAACACATGGTTGAGTCTTTCTGGGTTTATAATGTGCGTTGTAATAATGTTTCTGATTAACTGGTGGTCTTCTTTGATAACATTTGGAATTATCTGGGGTCTCTACCTTCTAGTAGTTTACAGAAAGCCAGGTGAGTATTCTTATTTCTAAAAGCAGCAATAAAAACAAACAGAAAGACAGAAAAACAATGGCAACGCTTCCCTTTATCATTAAAGCTCTTTATTTACTTTTGCCCTCTTGATGAGGTACCACAACCTTGAGAGTAGTCTCTAGGTATAGCCTGATACCTCTGGTTCTTACGAGTTCTAGATACCATATTCTTACAACGCTTTCGCAGTGGCATAAAACATGAAATGCGGTCTTCTATTTAAAGTGGCAGAAGAATCAATAAATATGACTCAAATACTTTTTTAAGTCTACAGTATTAAGCCAATAGTCCATTACTTGGCCTAACCGTATCTTAAAAAACTTCTTATTTGGCTAAATACCTTTTTGATCTGACTGGTTCCCAATGATTTTATTATTATATTAAAGAGAAGTGGGCTCAACGAGTCACCCTGTCTGACTCCGCTTTGTACTGGTATACACTGTGTTAGTTTTCCATTTATCTTTGCCTGTATTCGATTTTGGAGATAGATGTTTTCGAGGGTTTGTATAATATTGATTGGTATGTTTCTTTTATACAGTAGGTGTAAGACGTGTTCGACTTGGATGCGATCCTTTTGTCATTTTGCATAAAAAGCTTTATTCAATTTCATGTTCACTGAATTCACTTGCTCTGACCATTTGAGATTACAATCAATGAACACACCCAAAAACTTTGTAGAGTTGGTTAAGATAAATAGGTAGATGAGTTGTATGAATGAAAATAAATAATTTCCGTCTTGTCAATGTTTAATATTAGTCTGTGGGCATTACACCAGCGTATAAAGCAGTCAACAACAGTCTTCATTGTCATTTTTAATTCCTCGAGTGTACGTGCAGTGACTATTAACAAGGTATCATCAGCAAACATTGATATTATAAGTGTCCTTATGTGATCTGGTAGGTCCTTAATAAAAATTAGGAATAATAGTGGTCCCAGCACGGATCCCTGCAGTACTCCTTTATTTGTCGTGTATTGTTCTGAGCTTGACTCTTTCATTTTAACAACACTCTTCCTGTCATTTAAGAAATTTATTACCCATTCTAGAAATATTCCTCTGAAACCAACGTTATATAATTTATTTAGTAGTATGTAGTTTTGCCAAGTATATTACTGTCCAAAAGGCACATGTTAAAAAGGTTTTTTATTTTCTTAAGTAGGGAAATGCCTCCAACTTTGATTACATTAGTAATTACACAATCTTCGCCTGGAGATTTTTTATTCTTAGCTTTTCTTAGAGTTAGTTTTATTTCGTCTATTGTGTTTTCTAGTAGTAGTTCTGCTCCTTGGTTGACGATGCCCTTTTCCTTGTGTACAGCAATCTTCGCTTTTATGAGTTCTAGGACAAAATTTGTTTTGACTTTCAGTAAGTAAGACATTTGTTAATTATTGGCTTTATTACCATTGTTTATTACCCAAACGTCCTATACTGAAAAATGTATTTACTCAAAAACAATTAAAATTTCAAAACTAAATCATTTAACTTACTATAGCTTTAGCATAATATATCGTATATTATCAAATATACAAAAAGCCATCCCATGATTTACATTATAGAGTAAACCAAAGACATTTTAAAACTTTTATAGGTAAATAAAAAGTTGATTAATTTCACAATCTAGAAAATATGTTTCCCATGGGATGACGTTTATAGATAAAATTTTATTGACTTTTATATAACTTTATTCAAATAAAGTCTGTTGTAAACTTTACATTGTATCTCTATACGTTTTGAATTTTATATATTCTTTTAAACTATTTATTTGGTAAACATATTTTAACTAATTTAGATCGATCTGGTGATAAACCATACCAAAACTATAACTATTAGATTTAACGTTTCGGTTTCCAGATCGGAAGTTGTTCTTAAAATATAAGTTTGCTTTGAAGGATTCTTAAAATTTCTTGCCTTTGTAGATGTAAACTGGGGATCTTCTACTCAAGCCCAGACATACAAAACAGCTCTTACAACAGCTCAACGGTTGAACAATATCAGTGAACACGTGAAGAACTACAAGCCACAAATTTTGGTACTGTGCGGTTATCCACAAGTTAGACCACTGTTGATAGACTTTGCTAATCTTATTACCAAATCCCACTCCTTGCTGATCATTGGGGATGTGATCAATGTAAGTATACTCATATTATATTAATCAAATTATAAAATTGGCAAATTATCGATATTTTTTATGTGAAAAGGGTTCTCTATATGTGTTTTCTGTAGTATTAGGCTCTAATATTAGGCAGAAAACAAATAAAGTGAAATGTGAATAGATTTGTTATTTCAGAAACGAATAAACCACAGAACAAGATCTACAAGAACATCAAAAGTCTATAACTATTTGAGAAATAGAAAAATAAAAGCATTCTATACAATCATCGATAACATGTCATTTGAAATCGGCTCGAAAGCTCTTCTCCAAACGTCAGGAATCGGCAAACTTAGCCCCAACGTGTTGATGATGGGATACAAAAACGACTGGCAGATTTGCAACAAAGAAGAACTTCTTGCGTACTTCAACGTTTTACAGTAAGATAACAAACTTTAAATTGTTTTATTTTTCTATATATCCTGTTAATATCTGTTATTAAAATAGAAATAGCTTTGTTTTTAGTTAGTGTTTCTATGAATTTTCTATCGATTCTCTTGAAATTATCCCTATATTGCATGAATTTTACATCTGGACACTAAAAATCATTTTTGTTTTGGCCGAGTTGGTCGCAATTAATTTCTGTAGTCGTCTGTGCTTGGCTTCCGTTGTACTAGCGTGGGGTATGTGTTTTTAATGTTGTTAATTCAAGCGTTTTGGTCCTTGCTTTCCTTTTTTGGGCTACCAACTTTTTAATTTTAGCTGGGATGTATTGGGCTTTGCTACCTGTATTCTTCGCGAAAACTTGGTTTAATGTACTTACATGGAGAATTAGTCGATCACTGTGATGATTCTTTGACTACACAATTTACACTTTAAAATTACTAAGGCAAAAGATTAGTTTTCTAATTGAATTTAATTTCGGTGTTGCATGAAAGCAACGCTATGGAATATAGGGATACAACAATATTTATGTATTTATTAGCGACTTTGCTGTCAAATTAAAACAATAAATGATTTGGTGTTATTTTTTAGTGCGGCTTTTGACCACAGAGTAGCAGTAGCTATACTCAGATTGGGCGATGGGCTGGATTATGGAATTCTACTAGATGACGCCGATCAGGATCGCATCAGTAACGACGCCTCACTAACACCAGCTTCAAGAAACGAACTAAGAACGTCTGTTTCTAGTAACATTATGCATGCCGATTCTAATTTAAGTTTGACAACAGTGGGTCTTCCAGAAAACAACTCATATATCAGTAAGTAGAATTTGCCAATGAGAGTTTATTTGAATTCACGGATAACCCGAAAAATTAAAACAGTTCACACATATATTTAATATTTACGCCATGCCTATTATATCGCCACCAGAAAAAAGTTTAAACCAGTCTGCTAACACTTTTTGCTAAGTATATTCGATGTTGAGTTAGATTTATTCATCAGTAACTAGCGTATCTCTCTGAAGTATGTGTCTTAATCAATTATTTTTTATTTTTTTAGAAGTTAACTACTAACTTATCTTTATACATGTATTTCACATGTATAATTGCTTTATTTGACACACAATATTGATTTTCGTAGATCTGCAGACCCCTGCAGGGTCCCACAACGGCAAACAAAAGAAACAACGTCCAGGTCTTGACGAAATCATCATCACCCCACCGGATGAGCAAGCTAAGTTAGAGGAAAAACTCGATATGTTTAGGAGGAAGCAGCCCAAAGGCTACATAGATGTTTGGTGGTTGTACGATGACGGTGGATTGACTATGCTTTTACCTTATATTATTAACACAAGAAATAGTTATTCCAGCTGCAAGCTGCGAGTGTTTGCCATGGCTAATAATAAGAATGAATTGTTGCAAGAAGAGAAAAAGTAAGTTTTACTCATCAACAAGACTTCAGTTATTTTATTTTTACTTTTCTAAATATCTATCTATCTATCTAATTAGCCTTCTTCGGTCCATCTTTGGACATAGGCCTCCCCAATCCTTTTCCATTCTTTTCTGTCTGTGGCTACAGTCATCCATCTAGAGCCCACGTGCTTCTTGATATCATCTGCCCATCTCATTTGGGGTTTTCCTCTGCTTCGTTTATATTCCCACGGTCTCCAACTTATAAGAATTTTGTTCCATCGGTCTTCTTTTTGTCTTATATTGTGTCCGGCAAATCTCCATTTCAATTTTGCAACTTCTTGTCTAACCCTCACTTTTGTTTTCTCTCTTATCCACTCGTTTCTCTTCTTATCCATTAGTCTTATGTGCAATATTTGTCTTTCCATTGCTCTTTGGGTTTTTATGATTTTGTCCATGTTTGCTTTTGTAAATGTCCACGTTTGGGAGCCATACGTAAGAACAGGGAGTACGCATTGAATATATACTTTGGTCTTAAGATGCTGTGGATATCTTTTGTTTTTAAAAATGTAGCTTAGTTTGCCAAATGCCGCCCATGCCAGTCTAACTCGTCTCTTGATCTCTGCTGTGTTCTCTTTGTTAAGTTTTATAGTTTGACCAAGATATATACTTTTCTAAATAATTGTTTTAAATTGCAATAATTTCCTATTATCTACTAGACAATGGATTTTATTACAATGGACTTTTACATCGTTTATTACACTGGAAAACATCGCACTACCATCACTATGGCTCCCCTTCAGTTTTGATCCCATTTCAGCGTTGATGTTTATAGAGTATTTCCAGTAGTATCATCATCAACATCACATATTAGAGTAGAAATATGACTAACATGAATAATATCCTCATCAGACGTTTCCTGAGACTAACTTTTTTCTTCATCGATCGATCCAATATAACCTTACTCTATCACTGCTGAAGCAACAATGATTTGAGGAGAGTTGCTGTTATAGTAAAAATTTCTGGTGATATTTTCTACGATAATATAATTGGTGAAGAAAACGTTGTACTACAAGGTTAACAAAGGGTACCCATGTTTCTTGATGTCTTTAATTATTTTAATGTTCTTAATGGGCTAGTCTTTTCATAAGCTCATTAGTAATAGTTTCTCTTGTAATTTTATTCTCTTCCAAGTAAAAAAATACTGAATCATTTGCGTTTTCTATATTAAAAGGCAAATATCTTAATCTTTTTCTTTATTCAATAATCCTAATTAACAGATTGCATTATCAGATAAATTTTTAAGAGAAATTAGGGAAACAAGATAAAAATTACTATTATTATTTATTTATATAAAAACTTGCTTTCAGCCATCCAGAAATATATGTATGACTGTTTCTTTAGTTAATAAACTATATTCTGATCTTTTAGCGTCTCAATCTATTCCGAAGGGATAAATAATGAGTGAAATCAAGACTTAAGGTCACACCTCTTACCTTACTACTCATCCATTGACTGACCCATTTCCACTAAATTACCCATAAACGATTTGCGAGGATACGCAAATAAGTATTGTATGTAAATATATAGGAAAGTCAGATTGCAAGGGTATTAGATGATTTAACTAGAGACCATACGATTTGTCAACAAAGATTGCTCACAAAATTTTCATTTTCATACTTTTCTTACAGCATGGCCCATTTGTTATCAAAATTCCGATTGGACTATTACAGTCTACAAATGGTTTCAATAGCGGATAAACCCCAAGATTCCACAATAGACTTTTTCAACGAATTATTGACGAGGTTTATTACAACAGAGGAAGTCAAAGAGAGCGGTGAGTAAAAGCAGAAATTCAAATAATTATTGTTCTTTGTGACAATTTTTGTATATACCGAAATGGCAAATTTTCAACTACAGTATATGTTACACACTATGTGGAACAAAGATAACACTTGTTTGAGTAGAAGTGAGAGGCAATCACCATCTCGAAGGAGTAGGTATGACTTTTAAACAGTGTTGCTATATTTCGTTTACATCTTTCCTTCTAAAATATTAGTCCAATATATGAGTATAAAATAATATTTAAATTGATGTGTAGCATCAACGCATTATTCCCCTGACAAGTTGTAAAATTTTAACCCATGAAGGACTGGAGTTGCCATATGGCAACACTGGTATTGACGTACGAATCTTATTATTTTGAGGTTATATTAGTTTGTTTTGTTTCCAAGAACGTACCGGTCTGCAGAAAATAAGTGATTTGAAGATATACACCTAACAAAAACTTAATTCGTTGGTGTTTGTGAGATTTTATAGTCACCGTTTTTGATAGTTGTAAAAATGGATATAAAATTTGTGTAAGTAGCTCAATTTGTCAATTACTTCTGAATAACTATTACATCTAAGTGGCTAAAGTAACAATTATGCTCTAATAGAAAGGTCATTTTCCCTCTGTGAATATTTGACAACCCTTGAAAAAAAGCGATCTTTTACAATATTTTGTTTTTATTCATCGTGTTGCCATATGGCAACGCTAGTATCTACAGGCATCTTGTTTTTTTCAGGCGGGGTTTCTCTCTACAAGAAGCTTTGAACATGGTTTACGAAGATGACGTCAACGTTAGAAATATTTATGTCGAGCCCCCAAATATTGGAGACCTCACTGATGAAGATTCTGGCGAGGAGGATGGGGGAGGATTTATCGACAATCTGTCTAGAAAACAGCTGGAAGCAAATGTTGAGGTGCAAATGTATGGCGAAGAAGCAGACAAGGAGGATGACGACATCGAAAAAGATGCAGTTCAAGCGATGGATATTTCCCAGGAAAGCAGCGGAAGTTTCATCCCACAAACTACCTCTCAAGTGAAGAAAATTGAATACGAGTCTCTAAATTGGATAACGGGTGATTTGGTCGACAATGCCGCTAGTTTCCCAGAATATAGCTACGAACCATTCAATACGTTGACACCTGTCGAGATGTTCGAGTTATTTTTCGACGAGGATATAATTAGTTACATTCTCAACTAATGCACGAGTTATGTACTACAGAACAACTTTCCCGACCCCAAAATTTCCGCAGGAGAAATGAGGTGTTTCTTTGCCATTTTGATTCTATCGGGGTATAATTGGCTCCCAGGAAAAAAAAAAGCCATCGATGAAAGGGACAAATATTACAAGAACAGACCCTTAGCTGACTATTTACACAAAAAATATAAAGAATATTACGTCCCTGAAGGCGAATTAAATTACGACGAATCTATGGTGAAATACTTTGGACGCCACTCATGTAAACAGTTCATAAAAGGAAAGCGGATTCGTTTCGGATACAAAGTTTGGTGCCTCAACACTAAAAGTGGGTATCTTGTAAGCTTCAACATGTACCAAGGAACCGATCCCAAAGCAAATAATCATTATTATAAAGTTTTTGGAGCATGTGCGGCTCCATTCGTCACAATGCTCGATGAACTGCCCAATGATAAATCAAGATTACCCTACAAATTTTTCTGCGACAATTTATTTAAGAGCCTCCACCTTTCGAAACATATAAAGGATCGTGGCTATAGCCTTACCGGAACAATACGGGAAAATCGCATTCCCAAAAACTGCCATATAGAATCGAAAGCTAATATGCAGAAACGCAAAAGGGGTGATGTAGAGTCGATTCTCGATAGAGAAACTGGTATTATAGTTATAAGATGGTTGAATAACAGCGTCGTAAGTGTAGCGTCAACATGTTATGGGGTGGAACCACAATCGCTCGTGAAAAGATATTCACAAGCTGAAAAGAAAATCATCCAGGTTCAAAGTCCATACCTGATTGGTAAATATAATAATGGGGGGGCAATGGGGGGCACCGACCTAATGGACGAAAATATAAACCGCTTTAGAATAGGAATGAGGGCAAAAAAATGGTACTGGAGCTTGATTACCTGGATGCTAGATGCGACTATACAAAATGCGTGGGTTCTACATAAAAATCCGGCAACAAGTTGACACAGTTAGAGTTTAGGCGTGAAATTGTGCAAGCCTATCTGACCAAATACGGAGTGCCTGCAAAACAAGGTGGCCGACCGTCTAGTTCACTCTCAAGTCGTTCCTTTCGTAGAGTATCTGATGATATTAGATACGATGGAGTTGGGCATTTACTGGAACCAGTACCAAATAAAAAGAAAATTAGGTGTGCAGGTGAAGAATGCAGGTCGATCATGAGAACAAGATGCTCCAAATGTGAAGTAGGTTTGTGCACAAAGTGTATTGTTAAATTTCATACACAGCTATAAAAAGTTTTTTGCCGATTATCTCTCAATTTCATAGAATATTTTTTACTTTTATTTCATTCGGTTAATGTAGCCACAGGAACCTAGCGTTGCCATTTGGCAACAGGCAATATTTTTAGGTTTTAATATATTTAATAATTTTTTTTGTCTTTTTCTAAGTAAGTTTTGTAGATTCATAAGAGTTATTTGTATTATTTATGTAAAATAAAGATTTTCGAAAACTTCATCCTTCATGGGTTAAGCAACCCCTTCCTTCACAGTGCAGCTTGCCAAGATACATCCGGCTATCCGGAATTCAGTAATTATCAGACACTGACGAAGAGTTTGTAGTTCTTTGCATAAAATTATTTCGTCGCCAACTTTCCTTCGGTAAACTTTAAGAAAAACTCGAACACTTATATTCGACATAATGACGGTATTAGATTTTGATTCGATACAGAGCAGTGACAAGCCGCATGAGACATTTCGACCTTTTTAGGTCTCCTCAGTACGGTACAGCCACTACTCCGTAGTGGCTCCGTACTCCGTAGTACACGGAGTAGTGGCTATACCGTACTGAGGAGACCTAAAGAGGTCGAAATACGTATATGCGGCTTGTTGCTGCTCTGTATCGTTACTGTGTATCGTATTATTTCTTTTCTTCGTTTGGAGTACCAGAAATTGAATTCACTACGAATTTTGGCCATGATGAACGGCATTTGGAATGCAATCTTAGATTCTCTTGCTGATTTATTCATCCGATTTCGCCAGGTAGAAATCGTATGATTTCTCTTTTTGTTACTTATATTCAAGTTTTAAATGCAATTCTTATAGATATTTAGCTGTGGTAGCTTGGAAATAAAACAATAATATACTTAACATTAACGAATAGAAGAAAAAAAAACAACTAAAACAATTATTCTAAATAATTAAATTAAAATTAAAGGCATGTTTAAAAAAATCTCTAACCAATTAAATATTCGAACAAACCACTATTTTGCGCTAAACAAAATCTGAATCTATCAACTAAAGCAAGCCTAATTGCATTCAGCTGATTTGGCTGTACCCGACTACAGAGTTGAACAATTTTTTCTTGCAATTCTGTTAAATTGGTGGCTCGTTCGAATTCATACCAATATAATTTCGATTTTAGCATTCTCCAGAAATAAAAATCTAAAGGTGCTAAATCTGGTGATCTAGAGGGCTATTTTATTATTTCTCGTGTAGAAATTAATCGCTCAGGGAATGTTTGTTTCAAATAATTTGTAACTTTAATTGCATTATGTGCTGGGCAACCATCCTGTTGAAACAAGACATCATCGAAGGTAACCGCAATGTTTCGAACTGCTGGAATAATCTGATTGCGTAATCAATCTAGATACTTACGTCCATTCAGATTTCCCGTAATAAAAATGGACTAATTATATTATCATTTTAAAGTCCAGTCCACACATTTAATTTCTTCACAACAATACTCAAATGTTTATTTTCTCTAGATCAATAACAAACGATAGATGGATTATGAATGATGTTTATGGATTGTGAATGAAGATCTATCGAAAAAAAAACATTTTTTTAAAAATGTATTGTTCTCATTCGATTTCTTCATCATAGTTTCACAAAATTTCATACGTTTAAAATGATCGTCTGGAAAAAGTTCTTGGGTGGTTTACACTTTGTAGTAATTGTATCCATTTTATTTTAAAATATTCCTTACAGTTATCTCATTTAGGTCAACTTCGTCCATAATTTGTCTACTAGAACAAGGGGTTTCTTCAGCAGTTAAATAAACTTGCAATTCGCGAGATTCGCGTTCAACAGAGATTTGTTTCGATCGTGGTTAATCCGTTGGACTACATTTAACCTGCTGTACAGATAAGCACCGCCTATTCTTTTGAAGAGAAATTATGCACTAGTAGAGGGGGTACACATTTCTTAATTCAGCGTTTTTTTTATTAATCAAGTAATGATATAATCGTTTAAAAAATAACAGTTACATGATTATTTCATGTAAGTTTTGTTGGGGCAATATTAATTTTCATTCTACAATGAACTGTATTCGATTTAAATATTATATTACACTCATGTATCCGACTAATATTTTAGAAGGAATGATCTAACAGAAATTTTGCAACACTGTATGAAAGTTAGACTCGCTACTCCAACATGCGTGGATTATGTCTCACTTGAATTCAAACAATTAAGTGTTATCTTTGTTCAGAATACTGAATAACGTATAGGGTAGTTGAAAAATTGCCATATCGGTATATATATATATATATATATATATATATATATATATATATATATATGATTATTGAATGTTATAGATTGCATGATCAGCACGGCAGAAATCGCTGCATCACAAGACAAAACTTATAGGCAGTTAAGATTACGAGAATTACTTTTGCAACATTCCAGTGAGGCCAACTTAATTGTTATGTAAGTAAATATATAAATAATCTAATATACATCCATGTATAGGTACAGGTAATCGATAATATAATGGAAAATTTTTATTTGTCTGTATTATGTCCATTATCCATTAATCTTTGTTTGTAAACGAAAAATTTATTTCCATGCCACAAGAAGTAATTGGTGCATACTTAGACTTTCACATCAGATAAGGATCTATATTAGTAATTTTATGAAACCTTTCATTTATCACTGTATTTACTGAACTTAATATCAGTAAATTTTGGACATAATAATTCGACAAAATAATCTTGGACAAAAATTGTAATAAGCAAGGGATAAATTCATTCTGTCTATTCATTCAGTTGCTTCTGAAAGCATAATTATTATTTGCTCTGTTGTTATGAAAAAGGAAATTTCTTTCCTTGATTGACTTGACTGTCAAACATCTCGAAATTTACGTTCTACAGACAGAGAATGACATTTTCCAAGACTCTGAGTATTTTATGTCTCCTTTTTTTGGCAATATGTAGACTTCTTTTAATATATTTTCTCATAATTATGTTTAACTTTTTTTATTATTGCAGGTCTCTCCCATGCCCAGGAAAGGTACAGTGTCAGCCCCACTATACATGGCCTGGCTGGAAGCCCTCACGAGAGACATGCCACCTTACTTGCTGGTGCGGGGTAACCAACAATCTGTGTTAACGTTTTATTCTTAAGTGATACAAAACCAAATTTAATTTTTAATGTAAACAAATTCTTTAATATATTTTATATTGTACATAACTTTACCTAAAGTACTTATTTAATTTAATAAATACTATTGTTTTTAATAAAGAGAATTTTGATTACAAGTGTATTTGTTTAACTGATACCTATAGAGATAGATATACTACTAGTATATATCAGTGTCCAGCATAATATTATCATCAGCCTCTAGTTGTCCACTGCTAAACATAGACTTCCTTCTTAAACTCCCATTCAGATATACTGGGTGGTCCAATAAGCCGATCTCTCGGCTATATATCAGAAACTATTCATGTTATAACTTTAGGAAAAAAAATTCCTTAGTAAAAGTGGCCAAGAGAAATCGTTGGAAATAATTTTCAAGATTCTGGATTAACCGCTAGGGGGCGTAACCTGCGAATAAAATTTTGAAAACCAGTTTTTTGGGAAATATGTCCAATTATACCAAGTGTTAAATAAGTAAACTAGAAAGAGGCATAAATTCTGCACAAAGTTGTTCAAGTACTTTTTTTTATTTTTTCAAATAAAGGGTGGGGGAGAGTGGGAAAGTATTTGTGGATAAATACCTATAACTTTGATTTGGTCCAACCGATTTTAATGAAATTAGTGTCGTTAGAAAGAGTGTGTATGAATTAAGTCACATCTACTATAAAATACTTGCATTTTGTTTTCATAGTCGTAGGTAGAGGGGACTTTCAAATAAAAAAAATTAAAATTTGTTTTTCTTCAAAATTTGTAGAGGAAATACCTATTTATTGTAAATTATAATGGAACTGGAATAATTTCGTAACAAAATGGAGCAAACCGCATGTTAATAGCTTTTGTTGAACTCGAGATATGAATTAAAACTCATAAACATAAGTAAGTATAGTATTGACTCACCCTGTATTATAAATTACATTAAAAAATAAGTCAGTAGGTATTTTCAAATTTTTTTATAGCAGAAGAATCTTAATGTTGATACCTATTTTGTAAAAAATAGTTTTTTCGAAACTAAGTAGGCTACGACAATGAATTTGACGGGGAGTTCATATTGTTTATTTATTGACAGCAGTCAAAACATTGTTAAGAAGTGCTATATTATAATTCGAATTAAAGATTGCACTTTTTTCAATAGATAATAATATTGGTAATATTAGTAATTTAATTATCAGTACAAATAATTCGTGATGAGTATATCAAATTGTATGATATGATTGGAGTTTATTTCGAATGTCACCAAAATGCCGCTATTGCCTCACGTATACATTTTGTAAGTTATCGTGACAGGAGACATTATGGCAAAGAAGTGTTTGAAAGAAAGGCAAAAAGATTAAGAGAAACTGGTAGTTTTTCTCGTCCTTGTTTTAAACGACGTAGTAGAGTTATGACCGAAGATAATTCAATCAATGTTCTTGCTTTAATTCAACAGAATCCACATATAAGTAGTCCGAAATCTCTACTTCTTTGCCACAATATCTCATGCCAGGATATCTTACAGAATATATACGTGAGGCAATAGCGCCATTTTGGTGATATTCCAAATAAACTCCAATTATATCATACAATTTGATATACTCATCACGAATTATTAGTACTGATAATTAATTACTAATATTACCAATATTAATATCTATTGAGAAAAATGCAATTTTCAATTCGAATTATAATACATATAACACTTCTTAACAATATTTTGACTGCTGTCAATAAATAAACAATATGAACTCCCTGTCAAATTCATTGTCGTAGCCTACTTAGTTTCGAAAAAACAATTTTTAATCATATGAAATAACAATGGTCAAAATAGATATCAACATTAAGAGTTTTCTGCTATAAAAAATTATGAAAGTACCTACTGACTTATTTTTTAATTTATTTTATAATACAGGGTGTGTCAATACTATACTTACTTATGTTTATGCATTTTTATTCATATCTCGAGTTCGATAAAAGATGTTAACATGCGGTTTGCGCCATTTTGTTACGGATTTAATCTAGTTCTATTATAATTTACAATAAACAGGTGTTTCCATTAAAAATTTTGAAGAAAAACAAATTTTAATTTTTTCTATTCGAAAGTACCCTCTACCTACGACAATTAAAACTAAATGCAATTATTTTATAGTAGATGTAAATTAAATTATCCATACTCTTTCTAATGACACTAATTTTGTTAAAATCGGTTGATCCAAACCAAAGTTATAGGTATTTATCCACAAATACTTTCCCACTCTCCCCCACCCTTTATTTGAAAAAAATAAAAAAAGTACTCGAACAACTTTGTGCAGAATTTATGGCCCTTTCTAGTTTACTTATTTAACACTTAGTATAATTGGACATATTTCCCAAAAAACTGGGTTTCAAAATTTTCTTCGCAGGTTACGCCCCCTAGCAGTTAATCCAGAATCTTGAAAATTATTTCCAGCGATTTCTCTTGGCCACTTTTACTAAGGAATTTTTTTTCCTAAAGTTATAACATGAATAGTTTCTGATATATAGCCGAGAGATCGGCTTATTGGACCACCCGGTATATATTAGATAAATCGGAGTTATATGGCTCAAACGATTATATTGCTTATTTAATTTTGTCCTGGTTTGCCACACCTTCTGTCACACGTTAGTTTTTCCTATATTAGAACCAAAGGGACCAGTTTTGTTTTAGACAAAAGATAGTGTGTGTTATGTAGGAGCGAAGGAATCATCTGAGTGTCTTCTGGAAGAATTTAATGAAACCTCAACATTTCTTCAATTTATTATATCTTCACCAGGGACCTTTTCTGTTGCAATTCCTCACTTCTCAGACAATTTTCTTCGAACGCTTACATGACAACCTCTTGAAACTGTTCGGCAGCCATGTATAGGTCCACCGTATTGTTTATCGTCACTTTAATCCTGTCTAAGCAATATTCCAGGTCTGGGTGATATGCTTCCCACTTTCCATTTTGTTTTACGAGAGTTATGATAAGTTTTCTCGATAGCTCATTATCTGTTATTTCAAAACAGATGTCTCGATGGTTTGAATAAGACACCTCATTTGACACATGTCATTTTTAACAGGTCTAGCCATATGAGTCGTGTCGTGACCAATCAATTACCACATTGTAAAGTTACGCAGGTTGGTTTGTTCCCTACGTTTTGTATGTCTAAATCATGTTCTACAACACACTAGTATTGTCTTATCTGCCTTAGGTTAGATTCAAAAATAATCTCCTTTTTACTGTAACGAATATATTTTGATTTTATTAGTAAGCAGACCATCAAGGATACCATTTTTTACAAAATCTGCCTGTATTTTTAGAGTATCCAACAATTGTTGAAGGCATTTTCCTTTCTGCTTGCAGTTCTTCTATCGTAAATTTGCGGCAATATCTTCTTAACGTGTTAAAAGGAATTTTAATGTCACCAGCAGCAGACCTTAGAGATTGCCGTCGCAATTTTACTGCTCTAGCAGCCCTTAGCATAATATCTGGGGGTGTTTTGCCTCTTTCTGATTTTCTTTTATAGATACGCATTATAATAAAAGTTTCCTAAAAAAATAAAAACTGGGAGAAGAATGTCATAGTTAAAAAACCTGAGGAAATGATTCCTCACAACAACAACAAATATATTTAAAGCATCAGTTAATAAAATACCTATAGTCAGAATGATTGCCAGTATTCGAAACGAATAGGCACCAAAAGAAGAAGTAAAAAAGCTGCTAGAAGTGTAACAAAAAAAGCGTAAAGGTAGCTCGCCGGGGTTGATTGGTACACCGTACCAACCACCCCTTGCAATCTGAACCAACCGCAATGCACTTTTTTGGGTTCATTATCATCCAGCCTCAAGAGTCCACTGCTGAACATAGGCCTCTTCCTCGTGTTTCCAACCCCGTCTATCTTGCGCCACTCTTATCCAGTTTTTATTGAGTCTTCTCAAATCGTCAATCCATCTTGTAGGTGGTCGACCGACGCTTCTCTTGTCTTCCCTTGGCCTCCATTCCAATTACCTCTTTGTCCATCGCCCATCTGTCATTCTGGCTATGGTCCTGCCCATCTCCATTTTAGTCTGGCTATCTTCTCGATGATGTCACTCCGATTCTTGTCCTGATGTCTTCGTTGGTTATTCTGTCTCGCAGAGTTATTCCTCACATGGACAGCTCCATTCTACTCTGCGTGACTGATAGTTTGGTAGCTGCGGCTTTTGTTAAAGTAAGTGCTTCTGATCTGTACGTCAAGACTGGAAGGACGCACTGATCAAATACCTTTCTCTTTAGGCATGTGGGCAGCTCACTTTTAAAAGTTTCTCTCAGTTTTCCAAATGCTGCCCACCCAAGGCCGATTCTTCTCTTCAGTTCATGAGTCTGGTTATCCCCGCCAATCATAATTTCATGTCCCGAGTTCTACGAGTTCTATTTCTTTCCCACCAATACTGATGTTCTGGTTCTGTACCAAATTGGTCATGATTTTTGTTTTCGAGATATTTATATTTAAACCTACATTTTCTGTAGCCACAACGAGTTCCTGTACCATCTCTCTTGCCATACCTAGATCCTCAGCTATTATAAGTATATCATAGGCGAAACGTAAGTTGTTTAGATATTCTCCATATATTTTTATTCCCTTTGTCATCCAATCGAAATTCTTAAAAGCATCTTCTAGCACCGTATTAAAAAGATTAAATAAAGGCCTTTTTAGTTTAAAAATGCCAAAACTACATGTTAAAAGATTAATTATCAAGGTTTTATGTTTGGTAAGTATTGTTGTTATCGGCAACGCAATAAAACTGATAACACAAATATTTCAACTACATAAATAAGACCAACCCCGATCTTCCCTATTATTCCAGTCATCGACGTGACGAAAATGCCACTCCACCTTTAAAAATCATACGAACAAACTGAATTTTGTCTAGAATATTAATTTCCCCATCCCAAAAAAGACAAAAAAGTTTACCACTTTTACCCTCTGCCTTCCCTC